CCGGAAACAAATTCTTCAGAAAATCGATTGTTATGCGACTTGTGTGCGGTGGAGCGCCGTCTTGTTGAAACCAGAACTGCCTCATACGCTTTCGACGAATAATTGGCATCACAAAATTGGTCATCATGTCGCGATAACGCTCCTGATTGATGGTAACAGAAAAACGACCCAATGACCGTTTTCGCACTAACGCCGCACCAAACTGTGACTTTTTCGTCATGAAGAGGCAGTTCTTGAATCTCCTGAGGATTTTCAGTGGCGTAAATACGGCAATTTTTCTTATTTACGGTGCCATTCAATGTGAAATGGGCTTCATTTGTTCCAAAATTACTCGTCATCTTCGGCCATTTCGATGACTCTTTGGGCCCATTCCAATCGACGAGGCTTGTCCGCTGGCAACATTATTTGCGTCATTTGAATTTTGTACGGTAACAAATGCAAATCAATGCGAATAATCCGTTGTAAAGTGGACCGAGCCATGCCCAACTGCTGAGAACGGCGTTTTTGGGATGTTCTTGGGGGCTCGTACGGCAGCGATATTCTCGGCCGATCGCCTTGGTCGAATTTTATATGGCCTCTTCGGATTAGGAAGAGCCTTTATCAGTCGAAAATTTCAACTATTTCAGAGCGCTCGCGTTTTTTAATGTTTTAAAAGCACGTTGAGTTTTCACAATTGACTTCTTCTGTTGAATGTAAATTTCAACTATTTCAGAGCGCTCGCGTGGCGTTAAACGCGGTATGTCATTAAGCGATGTGACATCTCTGTCAAAAGTTATGGCGTTGCCAGATGGGTCCTTCGAATATGGGCAACCCTGTATTGTTGTATTGCTCGGAAAGTCTTCTATTATCTGCCATTCTGAATATTTAGATTCTATAATTCCTTCGAAATTTTTTTTTAATTTTACCGATTCTTCCACCCGACAATATGACACCATAGTTTCACCTTGTGTTGGGTAGTCTCGTTCCTTGAATAATTCGATTCTTTTAAATTCACTCCTCAAAAAGGAACTAGATCACTAGTTCTGTTGAGAATAAAACCAACTGTCTTGTTTGAAAGCTGAATCTATTCTGATATTATTTCACAATTTTGTACCTTGGGAACTACATACACTATTCTAACTTAACATACTCCATTACTTATTATCAATGCGTCCCCAGCGCTGCCTTCTATTATCTGTATTTGTATACACTGCCTAACGAGAGCATATTTGTGTGTCAGTTAATTCAGCCAATGAACTTAGTTTATCTAGATGAACGAAAGCAACTTTGTTAACGAGAGCATAAAATGAACTAAATGTCTTTTTGGATTACTCGGAAATATTTGGAATCTACAATTCCTTCGACAATTTTACCGATTATCGTCCACTCAGGAAAATTACATCAACGTTTCAGCTAGACTTGGACAATCTCGTTCCTGAAGCGATTAGCATTGTTTAGATTCGCTCCGCAAAAGGAACTAGGTCATTAGTTCAATAATTCATTTTAGTTCAATCGTGCATTCCAACGAACGGAAAGGTCCAGACCATGGCACAATGAATAGGTAGTCCATTTAGCGCAGTTGATGTCTTGATTAACTGTCAAAGTGGGTAATTTCTACTTGAATTCGTTGTGCAGTGTTGCCAACCATTTGAAATGTTATATGCAAAAATATGACAGATAATCGAGACAAAAACGAAGGTTGTTGTTGTGATACATCACCTTATTATTTCATCATGGTCCAGACGAACGAAAGGAATTGTAGCGATGTGTAGTATAGTACTGATCCTCTCTTTTGCGGAATAGTCCTTTGAACTAATGTGATCCGGAACGACATAACTCTAAACCCAACCTTGGGTGGAATAGGAAGTGATTTAGAGGTTATTACTACGGAAAAGCAAACTATTGTCAATCCCCCGAAAAAGATCTGCCCATCCTTAAGTACACTAAAAGGCGAAGGTCTTGAGAATCCATTAACACCGCATTGTCATAAAATATTACAATCTTGTTGCCTTCCCCTTGTTCTTTCCATCGAATTCGTGGCCTTCCTCTTCGGCGTGAACCATCAGTTGGCTCGCTTTTATATGCCTTTTGAGCTAGGGCATCCTCATCCATTCTCACAACATGACCTAGCCAACGTAGTCGCTGCAGCTCCATACTTCTGACTATGTCGATGTGGCACAGCTCATGGTTCATTCGAAGGCGATAATCATCATCGGCGCATAGATCTTTCGGAGAAAATTTTCTCTCAAAGATTCCAAGAGCTGCCTCATCTGCTTGAACTTTTTGTTCAGAGACAAAAATCGAAAAGTCTAAAAGTCGACTTTTGCGCTCGACTACGTATCCCTAATTCGACCCATTATGTCAATGTCACTGGCGTAGGCGAATAACGTACGTTGTTTGGTGTACAGAGTGTAATATATGTTCACCTTCGCATCTCGTACGACTGGTCACACGACAAACTGTCACTCTGTCTGAATCCTCGTTCGGTATTAAAGGGCTCCGAGAGGTACTTCTTCAGGAATGTCGAACACATTTAAACACCTCTGAACGGACATGGCCTTTTCCTGGATTTGGCGCAGTGTGAAAATGTGTTCTGTAATGGATTTGGCCATGTCTGAAGCCGCATTGATTACATCCAATAATGTCAGTGACCTTCGGCTTCAGTCATTCACACAGGACAGGCGATTTATTCCACTACAGTTTGCACATAATGTCTTGTCTCCTTTTTTTGTACACAAACCACAGGATGCTGAGGTTCTAATCATTGGGCATGTATTCCTTTGGCCAAATTGTACTAATCAGTTGGTGTATGCTGCTGATCAGCATCTTACCGCCGGAATTGAAAAGTTCAACTGCTAATTCATCGGCACCTGCTGCTTTATTATTATTGATTGCTATTCTGGCCTCATCTTGTCTAGTTAATATACAATCTATACCTTAAATTTTTTTCTGGGTATCTTCTGTACCGCCACTATTTGATACCAGTAGCCTTGCAAAATGCTCCTTACAGATCCTCAACACGCAGATTATTATCGGGAAAAGGAGTGCTTTCGTCAAGCAGGTGGGTAAATTGAGCGGAGTTGTATTCCGCTGTCTCTTGTGTTTGCAGCTTTTTGACATCGAGTTATCGCATCTTTGCTGCTACATTAAGACGAGTGCGAAAAATTGTCTGCTACAAGGTAGTGGTCCGAATCGATATTCGCTCCTTGAATCGATCGAACGTCTAAAACAGTGGATGAATGCCTTTCGTCTTTCACAACATGATCAATTTGATTTCTCGTTTATTTATGGATTGGTCGGTGGTAACAATATTACCTTTTGGCAACGATATGCCTGTGTGCAACAATGTGCGTGCTGTCTGTCCGATTGACAATATGCTACTCCATGATGCTAGAAGGAGGCGCCAAAACAAGTGACAAGTAGCTACACGTTAAAATGTCAAAAGCGCTTACCGAAGGTTGCAATAAACCGTAGCGCCTACATTTTAAGGAATAATTAAGGGCCTATACAGGGGTTAATAAAAAGTAGTATTTTTAAACAATTCTATACAATATTTTCTCTTTTGTTTTTTCCATTAAAATATCCTACCAGAATTCGAATGTCATGACGAGGGCAGCGGTCATATATTGTTTCTAGGAGCTCGTAAAATATGTATTTTATCTGTCCATATTTGCGTTCCGTCGGAGCATGGGCACAGATAAGTCTGAAGTAGAAAAACTTCACTTTTATACGAATTATTGCAATTGGAGTGAATCTGGAGACGAGGTCTTTTATTTTCCTGTTAACCATAAATCCGCAACCAAATTCATATCACGTTTCATATCAGACGTAATACAGTTAGTAACCGTCTGATTTACTTACGCTTGTATCTGGGATTCATATTTATACAGTAGATATCGGATATAAGAAACTCAAAAAAAAGCCGGTGATTTCTTTCTTATATGCGTTTTTTTTTTGGGATTATAGGATATAAGAAAGTATAAGCTCGGTGTTTTTTTCATAATCTTTCTTATATGCGATTTTTTCTTATATGAGATGTGCTTATATCCGATATCTACTGTATTCGATTTAACTTATTTTTCGGAAAACTGTATAACTTTAAATGCAAATATGTCAAAATTAGGTATTATTTTCTTTTTATTTGAAATGAAAAAATATATATGTATATATATATTGGTTTCCACTTCAAATAGAATTAATAAAGACTAGGGTAATCTATTCCAAAGATCTATGTATACAATGTAGGTTGTATAATTGATTCCCCGTGTGTACACCAATCTCGACATTGTTTAATGAACTCCCAAAAAAAATCGAGAGTTATACTTCTTCTTTTTTTTTGTAAACCTTTCTCTCTCTCTCTTAACTCACACTCTCTCTTTTGAATATTTTCTTCTATTCTTAAACACATTTTATCTTCTCAATATCTTTTTAACATTAATTTTTTCCAAATTATAATTTTCTCTTTATGCACAACTCTCTAACTAAACTTACCACCTCAGCCACTATTACCACAACCACCACAAAACATTTTTACATTTATCCCACCATTAAGAAAAAATTATATGATAGATCAGTACACGGCAAGGCCATGAAACATACCATGTTCCTGGGTTCTGATTCGCGGAGATTTATAAAAATTTAATGTAATTAAATCCTTTGTTATTGCCGTTTACTGGTCTACCCAATTCCACACCAATTCTCAAAAATATCGTTTTTAATTTTTTTGTTTATAAAAAATACAAAAAACAAGATTTCATAAAATATATATATATATATATAATTTTTATGTTCAATTTCAATGTTCCTTCATTGTTGCAAAATTTGCTTTTTCAAAACAATTTTTTAGATGTTTCATAGTTCGTTCATAGATTGTTTGTTATTTTTGTCTGTACCATTTGTTGTGAATTTGAAAAAAAAAACAGAAATTTACAAAAATGAAAAGATTTTTATATTTTTACTTCTTATGAAACTAATAATTATCAATTTTAAATTCTTCCCCCGCACCTACCAAACAAATACAGTCGGATGCTGAGAGGGCTCGCGAAGAGGCTGCCGCTTTACAGGAGAAACTCGAAAAGAGCCAGGGCGAAGTGTATAGACTGAAGGCTAAACTAGAAAATGCCCAAGGTGAACAGGAAAGTTTGCGACAGGAACTAGAAAAGGTCCAAGGCAGCATTTCACGTATACATGCCGATCGCGATAGAGTAAGACATTTTCAAGCCCAAACCAAATTAGTATTAATTTAATGTTTCTCACCTTTCGCCCCTAGGCCTTCTCCGAAGTGGACAAAATGAAAGAAGAAATGGAACGTACCCAGGCCACATTGGGTAAAGCACAATTACAACAGGAGAAACTGCAAAATGCATTGGACAAGGCACAAAACGAAGTCGATCATTTGCAAGAGAAACTCGACAAATCCAATGCCGAAGTTCGTCGCCTAACATTGGAGAAAGAGAAATATACCTATGACTATGACAGTTTGCAGTCACAATTGGACAAGGCATTAGGCCAGGCAGCCCGCATGCAAAAGGAACGTGAAACACTCACCTTGGACACAGATCGAATACGTGAAAAACTTGAAAAGACACAGGTAAGAAGCGGAAATGAAATATATTGTTTTGTGTGAAAAGGACAGCATTGGCGTAGCTTTTTTTTTGAAAAAGATTGAGAAATGTATTAAAAAAATTATAGTTTTGCATTTCTAAATAATAGTGGCATGCTTAAACATATTAAAAGTCGATTATTCGATTTACTAATCCCTATCGGAGAGCAACAATCAGTCTTGATAAGCAGTCAATGAGTGAACACGCGTTTGTGGAATCTTTGTCTTTGTCCAGATATACTTTTGCTAGGAATAACCTTCAGTTAGGGGAATTGGTAAAAAATTCCATAATTCTCTATTGCACTCGATGTATACGATGTCTTGATGCAAATTACAACATATTCGAGTCAGTGTTCACTATTGAACTTATTTATGACAATGTCAAAAAACAACAATATGTGATACGATATTGTTTATGAGAAACTTTTGTCGCTGGTGAATAACTCTAAACTTGCAGGCATTTGCGCAGATGACGCTAAGGTTATGTGTGGAAATATTGATGGTCTCGTAAGACTTCTGAAGAAGCTTGGCATCGAATTTAACAGCTTTCACTGCATTATCCACCAGGTTGCCTTATAGTCAAAATTCATTTCTGAGCACCCATCGATGAAGTTAGCTGAAAAGGTTATAAATAAAATTCAGGGTGGACATATTTCCTTCAACCACAGGAAATGTGCAACCTTTATTAAGGAAAAAAGGCGTCAACCATTCTTACCTTAAGCTTTTTACAGAGGTCAGTTGGCTAAGTCGTGGTAATTGTCTAAACCCACTTTTTAATCTTAGGTACATGTATCCTAAAAAAAAATTGGATTTTTAGAAAAGGAAAATTATGGTGAATACATGTAAATGAAAGATGAAGAAGTTGTATTTGATATCGCATTATTAGCAGACATTTCAATCATTTTAAATGTTTTAAATTTATAGCTCCAAGGGAAACAAGGGAATATATGATGTATGGAAAAATATTTATTAATTATTTAAAGCAAAAATCTAAAGTCGGAATCTTTTACTTATTTTCCGAAACAACCATTACTGATTTTTTTGAGAATATCTTCAAATATCAACACCTTAGCCAATATCAACACCTAAAATAGAAGGGATGAATTTTAATTTTATATATTTATAATAAATTTATCGGTGTACTTACCAGTGGTGCTATGGTGAATGATCTGCGAATAGCGACAAGCTAAACAAAAAGGTAGCCACACACTACGAGAGTACTTTCGGACAATTTGTTGTTCACTGGAATGCTTGTAGGTTCACTAACTGAGCTGTGTGTAGTGTTGGGCAAATGCCATACTAACTTACGGCCATTATTTTCTATTCTTTCAGAAAAATTCAGTTCAGGTTATGATTGGTTGTCTTAGTTTCGGGTGAGTTGACAGCAAATGAAATGTCAATACTTAATAATGTAAGATCACACGGTACTAAATTGTACAAGGTGGTTCCATCCATTCAAGGTTGTCATCTCCGAAGACAATATGTAAAACAACCGTAAGGAAATAAAACAACAAGGGTAATTTGAAAAAAGAGATAAATTTTTGAAGAAAATGGCTATGGGGGAACCACGAGTATAAAAAGAAAGAATCATTGGAAATAGGGATAAGTAAATCGACTTTCAACTAATCGATTAATCGACTTTTTGTATTGAAAAGCCCAAAAGTCGAAGTCGACTTTTAATATATGAGACAATCGTAAAGTCCACTTTTCAAGATCGACTTTCGATTTTCTTCATAAATATTTGGTTTTTTTATCACAAAGCTCAAATTGCTCAAAAATGGCACTTTCCGGAACGTTATCTGTTCACAATAATTCATATAAAAAATCAAATTTTTAGTCGATTTTGCAGAAGTCAGTAATAGTCGAAAATCTATTTTGAACAGTTTTAACAAAATCGAAATATCGAAAAGTCGACTTTTTAGTCAAAGGCAAAAATCGAAAAGTCTAAAAATCGACTTTTTGGTCAGAGGCAAAAATCGAAAAGTCGACTTTTGCGCTCGACTACGTATCCCTAATTGGAAATCGTCCAGTTTGGTAATAATATCGCTCAGGTGTGGATGACAAAGAAAAGCTAAAAAGTAACATTTAACTAAATGTGATACTGTGTAGAGACCAATTTTTTTTTACTCAAACAAGTGAAGTTTAAATTAAAAAGTAAGTGGATTTTTTTATTAATAGAAAGCATCATAAATGATCAGTTCTGGCGAAGGAAAATTAAAAAAAAAATATGTATATGTATTCTATTTAATAGGAATCTTCGCCAAACCACGGTATTATCAATCGAATCCACAACCGGATAAATTGTTGAGCACCTGTAAAGTGTGGTCGCCTTTCAGGTTTAATCATAAAAAAACAATGTTTAACTAAATAGCAGCAGAAAATCGAAATTATTAAGAATCATTAATTTTTAAAATAATATAATATTGTTGTAAACTCAACTTGTAAAGATCCTTGCAAAGAGAAGTTAGGGGTTCAATATGCAAATTCTCGAAGCCTTCTCCTTTTAATTCTCGAAGCCGGTAAAATGTCAGATCGGTCCCGCTACCCGGTGAAAGGTGAATCTTACAGACCGTAACTAAGGCTGTTGAGACATTATAGTTCTGTAGGATCAGATAATGGCACCCATTACCTTTTCTCTCTAATTCAATAAGAATGAATGATTGGCATGTCTCCTAACTCAAATCTATGTATATGTTCAATGTATCCACTTGAAATGCATATGTAGTTCTAGGTATTAATGTTAAGATTTAGAGATAAGAAGAACCAGATGGTTAATAATTTGAGTTCACCTCGAACCACGGAACGAAAAACATGGTGTATCATTTTCTCATAGTTTTCTGCCGTCGCAAAAGTTTTCTGACGTCGCGATGAGCATAGGAGTAATTAGATGAATCTATTGAAACATCAGAAATAGGATGAGTGAATGTTATCCAGTTGCTGATCATTAATACGGATTACTGAAGCATCATAACAACACATTTACACGCGTTTTCAGCCCACATAGTGGGAGATGATTCAACCGATTTAGGCCATGTAATAGAACAGAACAGTCTCTTAATCGAAAGGAACTATTCTGCAAAATAAACTTCCTTAGCTAGCTTGAGACAGAACATTTGTTCCATAAGCCGGGCTTCTACTTGATTTTTCCATCGAATTCGTAGCCTTCCCCTTCTGCGTGAACCATCAGTAGGTCCGTTTCTATATCTTTTGAGTTTGCTCTGGCAAGAGGTGGCCTTGTTTTTGAATTGCTTACTCAGACTATAGTATGTGGTTCATTTTTGCTCTCGTTCACCGAATTCCATTTTATTCAATGGCTAGCTTGTATCAGTGAAGGATAGAACTAAAAGGAACTATGGAACTAAATGAATGACATTTAGTTTGCGGAATGGACATCGAAAGATCGAACCGTTCATACTGCTTTCGGATGACGAAGCAACTACTCTTCATCTTGTTTAAAACTCTGTATCATTAGTAAGAAGTGCGAACGCCAGTCACTCATGGTATTTGAAAGTTTAATCCCCACGAAGTAATACAGCGAGTTTCTCATGTTAGGGTGATATTTCCGAAATCTCCACTTTCTAGTATTCGACGCCTTCTAATGGCGTAGGTGGATGCTTGTACGCTCATGACATTTGGATTGATAACATATGCGATAGGATTATGGAAATCTACACCACGAAGTCAGTAATTACATTGTTTAGCATATGTATATTCATCTAGCCTTGATGTTGCAGACCGATGTCCACAATTTCGATGTTACAAGTTTCTGGGTCCCCAGAAGTTTGTAACTTCAATAAATTTTGGTCCCATGACTCAACATTTACCAATAGATCTCAACTAGCTGAGTCGATCTAGCTATGTGTATTAAATCAAAGTACAGACCTCAGTATATATGGTTCAAATACGAAACTTGTTGGTAAACATCGTGTACAAAATGCTATGAACAAAAATGTACTTTGTCAGCTCCTTTTGCCAGTCGTCAAACGAGCTGCGGTTGTCTGGTACATCTGGCATCTTTTCCTATATTTCACACATTGGTGAATGGACCAAAAACTTTATTTTTTTGGAAAATTTTCTGGTTGTTCTAGAAAACACAATAATGACTCGAACATTAATATATACGTATGTATATATATATATATATAAAGATTTTTGGGGTCTCAATCTTATATGAATATCATATAGAATTTCCTTAATATAAAAAGCTACGCCAATGTTAAAACAGCATCCACATCCATGTGTATGTATGTAATATATTCGTATATTTATATGTAATTCTAACAAACACTATCAATAGTAAATGTGTATGCGTGTGTCTGTAAAGTGTAAAACTCTATTGTAAAAATAAAAACTTCCTTTATGTAATCTACTAATACTATATAACATAACTATAAACAAAAACTATTCCTATCTCTATCTCTCTCTTTTCCATATCTGTCTACTATATAATTTCTATTTTGATGTAACAACTTGTGTTCTACCTAATCCTGTTGTCGTTGTTGTTGTTATTCGAATAACAAAAACCATAAAAAAAAAAACAAAACAAAAAAATTAACAATAAATTACTAAACCCCCAAAAACAAACGACTAACACACCAAACAAAATGTAGATGCAACTTGCCCGTGTCCAAAAGGAGCGTGATCAATTCTCCGATGAATTGGAAACACTCAAAGAACGCTCCGAATCGTCACAGACCCTGCTACAAAAGGCAGCACGCGATCGAGAGGCAATGCAAACCGATTTGGAAGTACTGAAAGAACGCTACGAAAAGTCCCATGTCATACAGCAGAAATTACAGGTAAATGTACACACGAAAAATGTCCCGAATTCCCTTGCCACCCTGCCCCAACAATGACACCCACTCCACAGAACATTTTTCAAAATTTCCCCTTTACCTCAAAGGAAAAAAGTAAAAAAAAACAAACAGTATGACCTAAGTAAACAAATTATACAAAAAATAAGCAACAACATTGCATGCTTATGTTCGAAAACTTGAACGTTAACCAACCTATTCAAATAATAATCTAACCTCTAACCTAACCTCAACAACCAACCAAAACAAAAACCAATCGATTGGCTGTTTGTTAGTTGTAGCTTTTGCGTATGCAAGAGTCTCGGAACGATTGCCGTGTTTTTCTCACAGTATTTTCGCCATTATCCTTTTCAGATGGAACGTGATGATGCCGTCACCGAGGTGGAAATTCTCAAAGAGAAACTCGACAAGGCCCTGTATGCCAGTCAGAAACTGATCGACGAGAAGGACACCTCTAACAAGGAATTCGAAAAAATGCTGGAGAAATATGATCGGGCTCAAAATGAAATCTATCGTTTGCAGTCACGCTGCGATACAGCAGAAGCTGATCGTGCTCGCCTTGAGGTCGAGGCTGAACGTTCTTCGTTAGCCGCATCGAAGGCACGCGAAGACCTACGCAAGTTGCAGGATGAAAGCACCCGTTTACAAGAGGCCTGTGATAGGGCCGCCCTGCAACTCAGCAGAGCCAAAGAGGCCGAGGATAATGCCCGGGCCGAACTCGAACACCACCGAGAACGTTATGACAAAATACAAACCGATCTTCGGCGCACCCAAGGCGAAAAGGAACACCTACAATCCGAACTGGAGAGAGTATCGTATGAATTGGAGAGAGCCCATGCCGCCCAGAGCAAGGCCAGTGCCAGTGTGGAAGCCGCCAAGGAAGAGGCTGCCCACTACGCTGTGGAAATGGAGAAAATGCGCGATCGTTACGAAAAGAGCCAGGCCGAACTTAGAAAACTGCAGGACACCGAAACATTTGGTCGCGAAACACGACGCCTCAAGGAGGAGAACGAACGTTTGCGCGAAAAACTCGACAAGACCCTCATGGAACTGGAGACCATCAGAGGCAAGTCTCAATACGAGTCCGAGTCCTTCGAGAAGTATCGCGACAAATATGAGAAACTCGAGAACGAAATTCAAAACATGGAGTCCAAACTGCACGAAACATCACTGCAACTGGAACTCTCCAAGGGAGAGGTGGCCAAACTGCTGGCCAGCCAGGAGAAACAACGCACTGAGTTGGAGAGAGCTCACATCGAGCGCGAAAAGGCCCGAGACAAGCACGAGAAACTTTTGAAGGAGGTAGAACGTTTGAGATTACAACAATCTTCAGCCATCAGCCCGGCTGAGTCAGTGCGAGCTTCGGTAACAGCAGGAGAGCGTACGGAAATAGATAGGTTAAGGGATAGGTTAGAGAAGGCGTTACAATCTCGTGATGCTACCGAATTGGAGGCCGGAAGACTGGCTAAAGAATTGGAGAAAGCTCAAATGCATTTGGCTAAACAACAGGAAGCTAATGAATCTACACGCATTGAATTCGAACGTATGTCGGCTGAATTGGGTCGTCTTCACGATCGCCTCGAGAAAGCGGAGGCCGAGAAGGAGGCTCTGCGACAAACGGCGCGCACCGGCGTAGCGGACAAACCACATCCACAGCTCGAGAAACACATGGCCCAACTGGAGGCCGACTGCAAACAGCTGACAATCGAACGGGAACAACTGGTCCACCAGCTGGAGAAGAGCCAGGAGATCCTGATGAACTTCCAGAAGGAGCTGCAGAACGCCGAAACCGAATTGCAGAAGGCACGCGAAGAGAATCGCAAACTGCGCAATGGGCATGCGACAACACCGGCTGCCGTGGCGGCTGCAGCACCCACACCAGCCGGACCCAGCCCTGCCCAGTTGGCCGAATTGGCGGCAATGCAAAAGGAAATCCAAACACTGCAACAGAAACTGGCGGAAGCCGACAAAGCTTTACAGGCGGCTGGTACAGCCACCCAAGGTGGTGCGTCGCGCGAAGAAGTCGAACAGTATCGCAAGGTTATCGAAGCCGAAAAGGCTAAGGCCGATATGGCCGATAAGGCAGCGCAGGAGATGCATAAACGCATCCAGATGATGGATCAGCATATTAAGGAACAACATGCTCAAATGCAGAAGATGCAACAACAGCTGATACAAGCACAACAGCAGCTGCAACAGGCACAGCAGCAAGCCCAACAGGCACAACAACAACAACAACAGCAACAACAACAACAAGCACCTGCCAACAATGAAGAAATCAACAAAGAACTGGAGAAAATTAAGGCTGAATTGCAAACGGCGACCACACAGCGGGATCAATTCCAACAGCAGTTGGAATTATTGGTCGAGGAGTTGCAAAAAGCTCAGGTAAGTCTACGAGGAGAGAGAAAATGTGAAATATATAAACTTTTTAGGTGCTCTGGACGTATTTTTTAAAGAAACTTTTGTAGATAGAGATATTCATTCTATGTGAAGGATTTTTCAGGTTATCCCGACCGCAGATTAGTATAGGTAATTTGAACGGTTGTCTAGATTAATTACCACCAGTGATCTTCTAAAGACAGGAATAGAAATTGTATTTGGACAATTTCGAGAGGGTATCCCGCATAAGAAGGGATACACATTTTGAGGATATGATTTTTAAACTCTTCATAGGTAAACGACATTTTAGAGACTTTGATATCGACAGGTCTGACGGAGGATTCTCTATATCTCACATTCAAAAGACATTTTTGTATGGAATCTTTGAACGATCGTAAAATTTGTATAGGTTCCACACACTTATTAACAGAACAGGAGACTTTTTAGAGGGTGTTCCACTGGTCGAAAATTTGGGCAGTTATTCCATATAAGGGAAAACTTTATAAGATCGTCAAAAGCCAGAAGACCATTTATAGGGCATTTCAAAGGCCTTGGTAGCGTCCTCCATAGACACGAGGTATAAGCAGGGATACCAATTAATAGGTCATCCTAGGTAAACGACTTTTTAGATACTATGATAATGACAGACCTGGATTTCTTCAAAAGAAATCCATTTTAGGTCTTTAATCGGCATTAGAACTTTTATAGGGTACAGAGACATTTTGATAGGACAGAATACTTTTTAGAGAGCATTCTACAGGTCACAAATTTGATCAGTTGTCCATAGGTCTGAAACCTTTATGGGACCCTCAGAAGCCAGAAGATCATTTATAGAATCATTCATAAACAGAAGACTTCATATAGAGGTCCACGGACTGAAGGTCGTATTCAATCCTATGGCATTTCGTAGGAACTTTAAAAGAAATCCCTTTTTAGGGTCTCCGAACTACAGTGAAAGCTTTATATGGTACAGAAAAATTTTGACAGGACTGAAGACTTTTTAGAGGTTGTTCTACAGGTCAAAAATTTAGACAGTTCTTCCATAGACTAGAGATCATTTATAAGGTCTCCATATACAGAAAGCGTTCCATAGGCCCTCTATAAATTGGAGACCCTTGGTAGCGTCCTCCATAGACAGAAACGATTTCCAAGGTCATATACAATCCCTAGCCATTTCGTAGGACATTTACAATAAATCAATTTTTAGGGCCTTCGAACGACTGTATAACTTTTATAAGATCCAGTCACATTTTGACAATACTGAAGACTTTTTACAGGGTGTTCCACAGGTCAAAAATTTAGGCAGTTCTTCCATAGGCTGAAACCTTTATATGGCCCTCAAAAGCCAGCAGACAATTTATAGGGTCTCCATATACAGGGTCTCCATAGGCCTTCTATAGATTGAAGACCCTTGGTAGCGTCCTCCATAGACAGAAACGATTTTCAAGGGCTTTCCTTATTAAAATATTGTTGATGGGACACAGGTTACCCCTTCCGGGACCTTCCATAGGTTCTTAAATAGGACGAAGGCAGAACAACTTTTATGGAATCCTCCATAAATATAAGACCTCTTATAGGTGATCCACAGACTGAAGATCATGCACAATCTGAAGACCCTTTGTAAGTCTTCCATAGCTCGAAGATCTTTGATAGGGTCTGCCTTAGAGAGAAACTATTTCTTAAGATTTTTTATGGACTTTGATTCTTCAATATAGTCCTCTAAATGCAGAAGAACTTCGATAGGGTCTCTCATGAACAGAATACCTTTTGACATCCCGAATGACTTGAAAAGGCACCTCCATAGATTTTAGTAGGAAAGGACATAAATCTAAAGGGCTAAACAGAATGTTCGCGTTGAGCGTTTTTTTTTTTTTTTTTTGTTATCACGTTAACGCACGCAAAAAGTTGAAATATATTTAACTTCGAAGCGCAGCGCACATCAACTTCGAGCGTTTGTGTTATCGTTTCCTTGTGGTTGTTGTATTTTCGATAACACATAACGCAACGGATGACTCATTCTGCTTAGCCCTTAAGGCCGACGGTCTAAGACAGGAAGACGTCCTTATTGGGTAACCGCGGACAGTTTAGGTAGATCTTCTATTTGCAGAAGACATTCTGAATTTTTTCTACTGGTAATGGGTATTTTCTGGTCTGTGGTCCTACAAAATCTTCCACAGCCTGCTATGATATTTTCTTTGGTCATGTCCTTATATTCTAAGGGTCCCTCATGAACAGAATGCCCTGTTAAAAACATCCCGAATGATCTGTAAAGGGTCTTCCTTAGATTCAGTAGCAAAGGACATAAATCGATGGCCTCCCAAAGAAAGACGACCTTTTTGATTCAGGCAATTCAGGTATATTTTTAATTTGCTAAAGACATTCTGAAAATTTCTAGTGACATTGTGTATTTTCTGGTCTGTGGACCAACAAAATCTTCCACAGCCTGCAAGGAGATTTTCTAAGGTCAGGTCGTGACTTCTTCTATTGAGCGTTTAAAGATCCGATACGTCAGTTCTTCAATATACCTGTGCCTATATTTCACCTTCTCAAGGTTTCAAGAGACTAAATACTTTTTTGAAGTGGTCCCTTGGATCGAAGACTTTTTTGTATTTTTTTATGAATGATCCTGCCTTATATGGTCGTCCATTGGCAGGAAATCTTTAATATTAACTTCTAAAGATAAGGGGTCTTTCATAAGACAACATATAGAATTTTCCTTTATTGTAGGCAGAATACCCATTATAGGGTCCATTGCGGGAAGACCCTATAAGGGAAGATGCATTTTTATATTTTTTCTATGCTCTAATGTTTTATAATATTTCGATTTATACATATCGAATAATAACCGCCCAATCACCATTCCCCCCAGCTCGCCAATCAGGAACAAGGGAAACAATTACAGGCCGCTCAACAGCAAATCCAACAGTTGCAACAACAACTACAACAGGCAGCTCAAGCCGGCGGTGCCACGGCGGCCGCCACCGAAGCCCAGCGACAACAATTGGAACAGCAACAGAAACAACTGGACGAAGTCCGTAAACAAATCGATAATCAAGCCAAGGCTGTCGAAAGCGAACGCAAGATCATCGAAGAGCAGCGCAAACAAATCGAAGCCAAACGCAAGGATATCGAAGAGAAGGAAAAGAAGATGATCGAATTCGATGTACAGCTGCGCAAGCGAAAAGAACAAATGGATCAATTGGAGAAACAGATACAGGCTCAGGGTGGTGGGGCCGCAGCAGCTGGTGAACTCAACAAAAAACTCATGGACACTCAACGGCAATTGGAAGCGTAAGTTAACAAATTTGTTTTCAATTAAAAAAAACACAATTATTAATTGTTGTTGTTTTTGTAATAACAGTTGCATCAAGGAATTACAAACAACCAAGGAGGAACACCAAAAGGCCGCAACAGAAACCGAACGATTACTCAAATTGGTACAAATGTCCCAGGAGGAACAGAATGCAAAGGAGAAGACAATTATGGACTTGCAACAGTGCGTATTGAAAAAAAAATACTTAATTATATTTTAATTTATAAATTATTTAATAATTATCTTCTACTCTTTTCCTTACAGAGCCTTAAAGATTGCCCAAGCAAAAGTCAAACAAGCACAAACACAGCAACAAGCAGATGTAAGTAGCATTTATAATAAAATGAATAGATTACGATTGATCTTAGATTAGAATACGTTTCGCTGGGTCGTTATACCCTTCACCACACTGTGGTACAGGGTATTCTGTCTTTGTGCATATGTTGTTACAAACATATGCAAAAGGAAACGAGATAGACACATGGTTCCTTTTGAGAATATGCATAGAATTACTTTCTGAGTCGATTTATGCTTGTCCGTCCCTCCGTCTGTCTGTCTGTCGATGTAAAATTGTAAACAAAGTACAGGTCGCATTTATAATCCGAATTGGATGAAATTTGGCATAGGTCACTTATTTGGCCCAAGGACGAACCCTTCATTTTGTGGTTAGGCCCGGGCCCCCCGGGCCCCCCGGGCCGCCCCCTTCGTACGTCCCTGGCTCCCATATATATTTTCGTCCGATTTAAGGTAAATGGTGTACCAAAGTCCCTATATATCTTTCGATTTGTACGAAATTTGGCACGGAGTAATGAATTAGGTCTAGAATGATGTGTGTCAAGTTTCCTGAAAATCGGTTCAGATTTGGATATAGCTCCCATATATATTTTCGTCCGATTTAAGGTAAATTGTGTACCAAAGTCCCTGTATATCTTTCGATTTACACAAAATTTTGCACAGCGTAATGAATTAGGTCTAGAATGATGTGTGTCAAGTTTCCTGAAAATCGGTTCAGATTTGGATATAGCTCCCATATATATGTTTTCGTCCGATTTAAGGTAAATGGTGTACCAAAGTCTCTATATATACTCCAATTTGCACGAAATTTGGCATAGCGTGCTGAATTAAGTCTAGAACGATGTGTGTTAAATTTTGTGAAAATCAGTTCAGATTTAGATATAGCTAGATATAGCTAGCTAGTGCACCAAAGTCCCTTTATATGATTCGATTTGCATTAAATTTTGCTTAGCGTACTTAATTGAGTCTAGAATGATAGGTGGTGAGTTTCGGGAAAATGGGTCGAGATTTCGATATAGCTCCCATATAAATGTTCGTCCGATTTTATGTAAATGATGCACCAACGTCCCTATATATCCTCCGATTTGCACGAAAATTTGCACAGCATACTGAATTAAGTCTAAAACGATGTGTGTTAAATTTCGTGAAAATCGGTTCAGATTTAGATATAGCTCTCACATATAGATTACATTTTTAAAGTTAGGGTAGGTTGAAGAAAGAGGGATCATATACATGCAATTGATAGGATACATATGTACAATATACCCAAAGTGTTGAAGGGTATCATATAGTCGCCCCAGTCCTACTTTAGTACTTTCCATACTGGTATTTTCTCTGTCTACATGAGTGATATATAGCTCATACGCATCAATGTACCTCATCAAATCATTTTCAAGCAAAAGGGGTTTAAGAATTTAAAATCAAATCTATACGAATAAAAGAGTAAAGTGATTGACTGACTGACTGATTTAACGATTCATCAACAACCAGACTGTGTACAAAATTTGGTACAATTTGAATTGTGGGTGAACCAATAGAGTTGGAATCCTGAAACTTCGATTTAGGATCACTGTGGGAGTGTAGGACTGGGGTAGGAAGGAGGATTTGGAAAGAAGTACTACTGTGTACTAAATTTGGTACTATTTGAATTGTGGGTGAACCGATAGAGTTAGAATCTTGAAACATGGATTTAGGATCACTGTGGGTTGTAGGATTGGGGTATATAGACAGTTTTTTATGGAAATAATGTGTGCTAAATGAATATTTTGGATTTCGGTGAACCTTTAGAGCTCGAATCATGAAATTTTGTACTAAATGGTACTCATGCCTAATAGCTCATTTTTGAACCTGAAATTTTAGTTTTATATATCGATACCCTCTGAAGATAGAATTATTACAACAGATATAGAGTCGTATAGAAATAGCTAAATCGTTTTAGAATTCCATACTTTGTAGGATATAAACTGATATTTTCGAGTTCCGAATATCCCACATAAGTGGTGAAATAGGTTATATGATAAAAAGAACACGTGAAACAAACCAATTAACTATTTTAATACAAAAAAGGTTATATAAGGACTACCCCAAAAGGGGACGAATACTAAAAAAGTGTTGGTCCGTGACTTAAATGACATACATTTCCGACGTATAATACATACGTCATAAAAATCGAAAACCCATTCCAAACCATTAGGTTTTTGACTAAAGTGTTGTTTCCATAGTGGATATGGAAATTACATACGCTTTAATTAAACTCTTACTTACATAGCTGGCTTGTGACAGAACTTCGGTTCCATAAGCCGAGCTCCTGACTCCTTCTCAATTTGTTGAAAGGTGGTCGTTGCCGCTCTCAGTGTTCGACCCATTGTATCGATGTCATCGGCGTAGGCGGGTAACATGTGTTGTTTGGTGTACAGAGTGCCATTTCTGTTCACTTTTGCCTCTCGTTGTCGAATGCCTTTACGACGAATTTGGTGTACAGAGTGCCATTTCTGTTCACTTTTGCCTCTCGACACGACAAACTATCACCTCGTCTGAATACCGTTCGGTATTAAAGGGCTCCGAGAGGTCCTTTCCGACTTTAACTGCTGATCTTGTGCCTGTTAAAGTTATCTTGCATAGCCGAATAATTTTGCAGGAATACCAAACGCAGACATGACTTTAAACACCAAATCCTGGAAAAGACCCACCACTTCGTCGACCATAATTCACATTCGACAGCCCAATCCTCTCAGAGGTGTTTAAAGCCATGACTGCGTTTGGCTATGTTATCAATTTAAAACCGAGGCCACCTCTAGCCAAACCAAACTCATGGATCTGAATATGGATCTGAAGCATATTAAGATTCCCATCATCTCGTCTATGAAGACTCCCTTCCATGATAACGATTCCTTTCGGCATGCCGATAAAGACCTGCTCGATTTTAAAGAATTCCACCTGTTCTTATTTAAAGAATTCTTCTTGCTTGTCTATGAACACTCACTTCAGCTGCTTTATACGGACACCTTCCAGCTGATCTATAAAGATTCCCTCCACTTCGTCCATCAAGACTCCCTTCAGATATACAGTCCCCTCAAATCGTCTATAAAGAACTCGTCCATAAATGTTTCTTTTAGATCGTCGATAAAAACTCCCTTAAGCCATCGGCTATTGGGACTCTCTTAGAATCGTTTAAAGATCGTTTTCGCTTCTCTATTTGGAATCCCTCCACTTCACCTTTAAAGACTCCCTTCAATTCATGTATACAATTTTTAACTAGTCTATAATGTATCCATTCCGGTCGAATAAAAAAGAAGTCTATAAAGATTTCATTCACTCCAACATCAAATAGACTGTTCTGTTTGACCAGCTGTACGACTATAAATATCCTATTTTGGCCACCTAATTTTGACTAAGTTTGTCCTACGATAGCAGTGATATGGTTGTTCCAGCTTAATGATTTGTTGAAGCTGGATACCAGCTCGATTTTTTCTTTGTTGACAAGAATGTCAGTACGCTGCAATGATATTTCTCTGTTTTTGTGAATGATCAAGCATTTTGATTTAAGCGGATTCAATAATAGGCCATTAGCTTTAGCCCACTCGCATAATCTAGAGAGATCCTACGTTTATATTAGGGATTTCGGGCAAGATTTTCAAACGATTTAATTTATTTATTTTTTTTTTTTTTGGATTCGAAATGGGATTTTAAAGCATCCTATCATGACATAACCCGATTTTAGATATTTTAAATGTTCACCTAATGTTGGAGGGTATAAACAATTCGACCCGGCCGAACTTGGATTTAAGAACATATTATATTTTTTTCATTATAAAATAACTATTTATATATAATTTATAATAATATAATCATATAATAAAAAAAAACATTATCTTTCTATTCCCCTTTTTATTTACAGGCTGGACCAGCTGGATTCTTAAAGAGCTTTTTCTAAACATATACATAGTTATTAACAATTATTCGATACAAAAACAAAAAAAGAAAAAAAAATTATCAAAAAAAATCAACCAAAAAATACTCTTCTACAACACTAATCTACAACAACAACAACAAAACAAAAACACTACAGTTTACAGTTTCTATACTCTTATATTTGTACATTTATTAAATGTTCTTTGCTTTCTTCGAAACAACAACAACAACAAAAAATACTACAAAAAACCAACTACAATAACAAGTCAACAACAGTAATTTAAAAGCAAAAATGGAAAACAAGAACAACAGCAACAACAAGAAATAATATCATTTAAACAATTTAAAACCAAAAAGGAAATCTGCAGTATTTTTGCCATACATAATCTCTTCTCTCTCTATATATATATAAATAAATCTCTCTCCAAGGAAAAAAAACAAACAAATCTCTCTCTTCAAACTAAAACTCTCTCCACAAACAAAAAATTAAAAAAAAAAAAAAAAAAAAATAACTCTTCAAAACTTATAAATTCGAATATTTTTTCTACTCGATATTTATAAACAACAAAAAAAAAAGAAAATAATATTTATATTTAAGATTTAAAAAATTAAAAAAAATGCTAATTGCTTTAATTTTTTTTTAATTTTTTCAAATAACTTTAATTTAATTATTTGTTATTTATTTTCATAATTAAAAAAATATTCAAACCCACTGAATTGGACTAAATAAATAACAACAAATTATATTAGAAAAGTATGGAAACAACAACAACAAAAATTGGTTAAATTGTAACAAACAAATAAATAAACTTTATATATATACATATTAAACATAATGTGATGTCATCATTAAAGAAATAAATAAAAAAAAATAAACAACTTAAATCATAGTTTATTATAATTGTCAAATATAAAAATAAAACAAATACCACAAATTAATAATATTATATAAATAAAGGAAACATTTAGTAACATTAAAAAAAATATTAAAAATAAAACAACAACAACAAAATACTTATGGAAATTATACAGCATTAATCCCTCAAGAGAAAAATATTAAAAAAAAAATACAAAAAAAAACAACACATATTCACTTTAAAAAAGACAACCAACAACAAAAAGAAAGAGAAAATGTTAGTAGTTAATAATTAAATAATAAATAAGAAAATAATAAAAATATTACCAAAACAAAAATTATTAACAATAATTAAAATATAGTAACCTCCCCCCGGTCCCCCCACAAATTTGTTATAGTTAGTAAATTTATTTAAGTGAGGTAAAGTTGAATATTAAATAATAATAAAAAATAAAACAAATATAAAATTAATATTATATAAAACAATGATGTAAATATTAGTAATAGTAACCAAAAAAAAAAAAAATAATAACAAAAACAAATGCAAAAACAACAACAATTTAGTGGAAATTCAATGAGCCAGTGATGCAGTTTAGCCGAAAAAGACGCAGAGAACCCGTACAGAAAGTAAACAAAAAGAGAACTAGAACTATAAAGCGTAGTCATATTATTCAAATTTAATCAGCAATATTAACTACTACAACAACAATTACAGTAAATTATTAGAAATATATTTTTTCTCATTCCTGGCTTGACAGGTGTTTTGTAATTACAATAGGTGCGTCTGACCTCAGTTGGGAATGCTGTTTACAATTACAATTGAATTAACTGACGATGTTAAAATATCTCTCCTCTGACAACCACTCTGTAAATGTCAGCCATTTTTTTTTATTCCAATCACAAAATATCTTCACAATTGTCAGATGCTCATAAAATTTAAATTTTTAATAGAAAAAAACAAAACAACTCAAATACTGCTATACTTATTATTATTTTTGTGAAAGGAGTTTTAGAGTATTTTAGATGTATTCTGAAGTTAAACTTCAAATATCAGATATTATGTAGGTCCTCCACCATAAATTAAAAAAATTAACTGCATTAAAAAAAACAATGAGCGGAGCAGGATAGTCGGACGGGACCGATCATATGATACCCTACACAACTACCACGAAACTGTAACTTTCTGCGGTTCTATATTCTGAAACTGGGCATATTTTCCATTTTTTTTCTTGAAGTGAATTTTTACGCCATAAAATAAAAAACTGGTCACTTTAGGTTTTGCTTGATTTGACCCTCGGAATATTGACCGATCATCATCTAAACAACAACTTCCACGAAAATCAAAATTTCTGCGGTTCTATATTCTGAACCTGGGCAATATTTCGAGATCAACAACTTCACTTTCTAAGCCTGGCATATTTTCCATTTTTTCCTTAAGGTGAAATTTTACTCCGTAAAATAAAAAATTGTCACTTTAGGTTTTGGTTTATTTGACCCTCGGAATATTGACCGATCATAACCTTGTAAAATATGCGATGTTCTGCATATAATAATTGCCTCTAGAGCGACTAGAAAATCTGACAAAATTAAAGTTTTCCGTTCATTGCACCCCCTGAATGAAATCTTAACTTCACCGAAAACTATAGGCGTCGTCCTTGACCATAATCGGAACTTCCTTTACTATTTCAAAGCGATCAGCGCGACATTTCCGTTCTCTAATGGAGTAATAGTAATACTATGCACATAGTCACATTTACCTTATTTTGCATAACTCCCATATCTGAGTACATCCGACAATATAATTGGTATCAATTTAAAGGTCAACCACTCCTCTTGGATACACTACCAACTTTTCGGGTCTATGTTCTTTAGGGGTAAATATATATGCAATAGAATACAAATTTTGTCATTTTTCACACAAAAAAGTCAGGGTCCATTTGACCCGCTAAATATTCACTGATCTTTATCAAGACATGCATGCTTATTCTCTGGCCCGATCCCCTTCTCCATACAAAAATTCGCGGTGTTTGAGCCATAATTCCGGCCTCTGGAGCGACCAGACCAGGAATCGAAATAAACTTTAATTAAGAGAATTTTTTTTTCAGGTTCTGGAACAGGTCGATTGTGTTTTATATTTTATTTCAAAGTAGTCTACTACCTCTGCGGTCAAAATAATAGTAGTGGCTATTGCAACCATTTTAAAAAAGTAAACCAGTGAGCGGAGCAGTATAGTCGGACGGGGCCGACCATATGATACCCTACACGGAACTCTAACTTTCTGCTGGTGTTTATTCCGAGCCTGGTCAATATTTCGTGATATTTGCACCCTCTTGCCCCAATAAAGGTCAACAGCACTTTTTCCTTACACTGACATATTTTCCGAATATTACTAATATTCAGTCCTTCTAATTACTTGTCCATATTCCCTTCACCGTGGGTTGTGTTGTGATTTTCGGCTTCCAATTATGGCCTATAGATCGACCCGAAAAAACACAAAAAATTAAGTTTTCGTTCCATTTCATCCCAAAATGATTGTGTGATCATCGCCGAAAATTATAGGCGTTGTCCTTCACCATAACTGGAATCTCATGGAAAATTTCAAAGCAATCAGCGCTATAATTCCGCCCTCTAGTGTGGTAATGGGTTACTAAATAATATCACAGTACGTAAACACCCGTAAATATTTATGTGTAACTCCCACATCCGAATACATATGACCATATAATTGGTATCCATTTAAAGGTCAACCACTCCTCTTGAACATACTATCAACTTCTCGGGTCTAGGACCTTCAGGAGTAAATATATATGCAATAGAATATATGCCATACACAAAAGTCAGGGTCCATTTGACCCGCTAATTATCAAAACATGCATGCTTATTCTCTGGCCCGATTCCCTTCTCCATGCAAAAATTCGCGGTGTTTGGGTCATAATTGCGGCCTCTGGAGCGACCAGAAAAACTGACAAAAATTAAGTTTTTGGTTCATTTCATCCCATAAAATTTAACCGATCTTTTCCAAAAACAATAGGGATCTTCATTGGCCAGAACTCATCCTACATGCAAAATTGCGTGAAAATTTGTCCATAACTGTGGCCGGACGGGCACACATGTTTAGATCGACTCAGCTAGACGAGATATGACGATCGGTATACTTAAAGGTGGGTCTTGGACCAATATTTCGCGGCGTTACAAACTTTTGGGGCTGCAATACCCTGACCAGGGATGGTCAGTATTACAAATTTTTAGGTTTTCGACTGTCAAAAAGTTGTAAACGTCGAAAACGTCATATACCTGTATGAAATGTAAAAAATGTAGTAAACGTCATTTATTTCAATATTATCACCATATACAGTTATTTCGAAGAATATATATCATTTCTACATATATCTGATTATTCCTTACTAGAACTGATAAAAATTGTTAAACTTTTTTGAGAAGAAAATTTTGAAATTTTATACGGATTGGAGTAAAGCATACATAATTTTCAAATTGATTAATGGAAATTGCTATTTTGTCAAAAACCTAATGATTTTGGGTATGCTTCCGACGTTTCTGACGTATGTATTATACGTCGGAAATGTATGTCATTTACGTCACTGTTTCTGACAGACCATCTCTGACCCTGACAACATAGTTGTGTAGGGTATAATAAAGCAAATCTGATTGAATATTGTGGAAATAGTAACCCAAAACAAGCAATTTTTTAATTTAGTATGACACATAATCTGATATTTTTCAGCTATTTCTTAATTTTCGCACATTTTGAAATTTTAAAAGCAATAGTGGAGGATATACAGAACCCGCAGACCTGTCAAACAATTCTAAAAAAAACCCCTTTTGCATATAGTTCATGAATAGTAAAGAAATTAGTTAAAATGTTAAATTAGATAATATCTGCCGAAGCTTTTTTCTTTAAATTCTTATGTTAAGTTTTTGTTATAAAGCAATTAATTTTAATTATAAGTTAATAGTAAAAATTTTGTTTTTGCCTAAACAAAAACATAAGCTATCTCTTGTATCTATAATTAAAAAAATTGTATGTAGTTATATAATATATTAAAAAAAAACTATATACAATTAATTATTAAATTAAAAAAGAATATTTATTAAAAAAAATCCCAAGTATACAAAACAAAAAACAAGTCATTACATAGCTAATATTACAAAACTACTACACAACAATCACTTTATCAGTAACAATAGGACAAAACTGCAAAATATTCTGGAATGAAAT